TTACTATCTGGTCCTTTTAAGAGAAAGTTTGCTGACTCCTGGGCCAATGATGTTTATTGCCTAGAGCTGTCAGTTCATTAGGGGTTTCAAAATGGTGATATTGTATCATTCCCTTCTTGTTAGGTGGAATACTTGTATAAAGAGAAACTTACTTTCATCAACAGTTTTATTGCCATAAGAAACAGTTAGATTAGGAAAATGCTTAGTTCTTTCACTTTTACAATGCCAGTTTTCAAAATAATGGTTTGGTTCTGGAACATTCTCTAAAGGTGATGAGTTGTGGGGTTTTTTGTTTTGTTTTGTTTTGGTTTTGGTTTTTTGAGAACATTATAAAGTAATGGAATTCAGCATATTTGAATGTTTCAATTTGTTGCATTATTATCATTATTGATGCTTAAATGTGCCATATTTGGCCAGTAAAAACTTCTTAAGTCTGTTGTGATGACCCTAGTCATCATTTGATAGCTTTTTGTTTTCTGATCTGACAAGATGTTGCAGATTCATTTCATGTTCCAATTGCACACCCGGAATTAGCCAGTTTTTTAAAGATTCTTTTGTGTGGAAAATGGAGCTTAGAGCCAAAATATCTATGTGGAGACTATTCATTGCTACTGGGTGGGTCATTGTTACTAGGTCTTTTCAGTCAAGTGAGCTAGGAAATACATATTTTTTAGAAAAGTAAAATACAAATTCATATTGGTTCTTAAGATTAAAACTGAGGGATAGATGGTTTTTTACTTTATTTCATTGATTTTTTTTAATAGTGATTCAACACTTCTGTACATCACCAGGTGTTCATCATGCCAAGTGCACTCCTTAATCCCCATCACCTATTTAATCCAGCCCCACCCATCTCCCCTCTGGAAACCATCACTTCTCTATAGTTAAGAGTCTGTTTCTTGGTGTGTGTCTCTCCCTCTTTCTTTTTTTCCCCTTTGCTCTCTTTTTTTTTTCCTTGACTGACTTATTTCACTTAGCGTTTTCTGTAGCTCCATCCATGTGTTTGCAAATGGCATTATTGCATACTTTAAAAAGAACAATATTGATAAATCTCCAAACATTATGCCAAATGAAAGAGGTCAGACACACGGGACTGCGCATTCCCATTGACATAAAGTTCTAAACAGGAAAAAATAACTGACAGTGGTGGCCTGCGGAGTTGGTGAGTTGCCTGGGGAGGCAAGGCAATTTGGGTTGAGGGGAGGTTGTCTGTCTTGGTTGGGGCTGCATACATGGCATATGCAGTTTTCTAAACTAATCTGACTGTACCTTAAAAATGAGTACATTAATTTTATAGCATGTAGATTGTGCCTTAAGATCGTTAATTTTTTTACACTTATATTGGCTTAAAAATGTTTTTATTTAAATTCCAGTTAGTTATCATACGTGTATAATTATTTTCAGGTGTACAATCTAGTGATTGAACACGTCCTCATCACAATATGTGCACTGCTTAATCCCCATCACCTACTTAACCCATTCCCCCAACCACCCCCCTCTGGTAACCATCAGTGTGTTCTCTATAGTTAAGAGTCTGTTTCTTGGTTTGCGCCCCACACCCCCCATTTTTTTTCCCTTTGCTCATTTGTTTTTCTTCTTAAATTCCACATATGAGTGAACTCATATGGTTTTTTTTTCCTCTGACTGACTTATTTCACTTAGCATTATACTTTCTAGCTCCATCCATGTCGTTGTAAATGGCAAGATTTCATTTTTTTAATAGCTGAATATTCCACACACACACACACACACACACACACACACACACACACACCCCACTTTTTTATCCATTCTTCTATCGACAGACACTTGGGTTGCTTCCATATCTTGGCCATTGTAAATAATGCTGCTATACACATAGGGGTACATGTATCCCTTTGAATTAGTCTTTTTGTATTCTTTGGGTAAATACCCAGTAGTGCAATTGCTGGAACGTAGGGTATTTCTATTTTTAACTTTCTGGAGGAACCTCCTTACTGTTTTCCAGAGTGGCTGCACCAGTTTGCATTCACACCAACAGTGCATAAGTATTCCTTTTTCTCTACATTCTCACCAACACCTGTTGTTTCTTGTCTTGTTGATTTTAGTCATTCTGACAGATCACCTCATTGCTTTTTCATCTATATTGTGTTTATTCCATACTGGGAATCCTGTTCTCTGTGATGTTAATGAAATGACTCATTTGCTCTATTCTACAACACACATGTTCACATACCAGTCTCAGAATAACAGTACCAATAGTAATTGCAACAAAGTGTTTATTAAAACAGTTAAAAAATTTTGCCATTCTTTTGGTCCTTAGGGCATATTCCACTGAGTATAGCTTGGTTGTTGTGTTCTTAAATTCTCTTACGCTAGTTCCTGTCTGGGTGGTTATAATGAAAACTAGAGATTTAAGTTTGTTTCACTTCTGCTTTCAGTGTTTAGGGATTTTTAAGATTAGTTTTGTATTTTATTTTATTTTATTTTATTTTATTTTATTTTATTTTGTTTTGTTTTGTTTTATTTTATTATTTTATTTTATTCTATTTTATTTTATTATTTTTTGTTAATGTTTATTTATTTTTGCGAGAGACAGAGACAGAATGTGAGTAGGTTGGGGCCAGGGAGAGAGGGAGACACAGAATCCGAAGCAGGCTCCAGGCTCTGAGCTGTCAGCACAGAGCCCGACGCGGGGCTCAAATTCATGAACTGTGAGATCGTGACCTGAGCTGAAGTCGGATGCTCAACCGACTGAGCCACCCAGGTGCCCCAGTTTTGTATTTTAAATATGTAAAATATTTGCACAATCCCAAAGTCAAATCTATGAACAAGTTCTATTCAGAGACATCCAGCTTCAATTTCTTATCTCTGGTAACCATATTTCCTCTCTTGTATGGGTTAAAAATTATGTGTGTGTGTATGTCTAGTAATATCCTACCTTTCTTAGATAAATATACCCACTTTTCTCCAACCTTGCTTTTTCACTTGATTTACTATAGAGATAAAGTTATTCTGTCATCCTGTTTACAGCTGCATAGTACCTCATTGTGTCCGTGTACCACAGTGTGTTCAGTGTGTGCCTTGTTGTTGGACATCAAGATTGTTTCCAGACTGTTACTACATGTAGTAGTGCCGTGAATAGTGTTGCTTGTACCTATTTTCATATTTGACCAGTGTATCTTTGGGATAAATTCACAGACATAGGATTACTAAGTCAAGGGGCAAATACAGTTATAATTGTGTTAGATGTTGCAAACTTTTTTCTATAGTGGATATGACATTTTGCATTTCTATTAGCCTGTTTCCCTATACTTTGCCTACAGAGTATGTTAAACATTTGGATTTTTGCCAGTAGGTAAGAAATTTGTATCTCAGTGTAGTTTTAATTTGCATTTCTCTTATTATGAGTGAGGTTGAGTATCTTTTAAAGTGATTAAGGACCATTTGCATTTCATTTTAGTAACTAATTCTACATCTGTGTGAAAATGGTAGGCAGTTACAAAAGCACAGAAAAGTCTTATTTTACTCCCACAAATGTATTTACAACTGCTTGCTTGATATAGATGTGGCTTCATTGTGAGTATTTTGGGGTTTGTGTCTTATCTTTCTGATGCTGTTAACATCTTTCTTGGATTTTTAAGTCTTCTTTTCTCCTCTCCCCCCCCCCCCCCCCGCAGGATTACTTCATATCAGAAATATGTTATCAAGAGATTAAGAACTCAATTAATGAAATATGAATTCATGACTTAATATGACAGCTTACTAACGTAGGCTTGAATTAGCTTTAGGCTAGTTAACAAGCTCTTGAATTCAGTTTATTTCTGTCATTAAAGACATAGCTGAAAGAATTCTAGAACCTGGTCTACAGACCTTGGGAAATGATGACATGATCTTTCTGAAACCTGTTTATTTTGCAGTGAGAGCTTGTGCATGCACAGCTTTCTTTGCAGAAAATAGCTTTGATATTATAAGATTCATTATTAAGGATTTTTGGTGTTATGTTCTTCTCTTTTGCATATATTTGTTAGATTGTCCTGTGGGATTTCATAAATTTTTACTTCTGTTTAGTAAAGCTGCTGACAGCAAAAGCTTTCAATAAATTATTCATGTGCAATTTGTTTTCTGCGTTCAAGAATTAATGCATCTTTACTCAAAAAAATTTTTTTTAGCTGAACTTGGTAACAGTTTGTAAACATATGGTGGTATAGTCACATAAAATCTGTAATGCTTGTTTTCCATGTGAAAAAAGTACTCTATTTGCAATATTTAGAGCAGTATCAGCTCTCTAAAACATAGCTGATTACTGAAGAATAGTGGAAAAAATAGCTTTCAAAAATGTGAAATAATTACTCAAAAAAAAATTGCTGCTCTTTCGAGATGTGGGCCACTAAATCTTAACGGTTTTGCTTGTTCTCCATTATCCGTGTACTTAACATACTCACTTTCATTCATTGAAAACTTTAGGTTTTGTTTTATAGTCTTCATTGCAAGTCTGTCATGTTGTGGAAAATGTGTCTGTTTGGCTTACTTTCTGCTGTCACTTTCAGTTCTTCAACTTCTTCATCTCCGGTGGCTTCTCTTTCCTGCCACTTCAAGCACCAGCTTCCAGAATTGCACCCTAGGCCCGTCATCCCTCGGCAGCGCTGAGATATTATTAAAATGGTATCACAGCCTCACCAGTCTCCTGGTTTCCCAGGTTTCTCCCGTTGTGCTGGCATCAGTTTTACCGATTTCAGTTCACTCCTGTGTATTTCCTTCCCTGTCTGTCGTAGATTCCATTGACAACCACTTGCTGATATCTTCAAACCTCTTACTTCATTGTCACTTGCTACTCCTCTTCTTAGAGAACTTCAGTTTTAAATGTCTGCGTTCTCTTCCCTTCATAGTCTGCAAAACCCTGTTCTCATACTGGCACTTCTTTAAATACAGTTACCAACCTAACTGTTCCCACAGTGCAGCCCAGTAATCCCATTCTCCCTTTTTGATGCTCCCTTCCATTCTCACTGCAGCCCTTTCAGATGTTTGCCATCACCTGCAGACCTCTGACCCTTCCCGACAGCACAGCCTACCCACAGCAGCAACGGTCATACTCACCTCCTCCGTCAGCAACTGTACGAGCAATGAAGTGTGGCGCCTGGGACCCCACACCAGGCTTATTCATATCCTCATCTTTCCTTCCTGTTACAACAAAAGAAGTGTCCTTTCCCTGATCCAGAATAATTGTCTGACGTTGTTTTCAGTATAGACATTTAACGCTTGAAATTTCCCTCAAAGCATTACTTTAGTTACATTGCACAAATTTGACATGCTGTATTTTCATTTTCACTAAGTTGAAAACATTTTGTAATTTCTCGTGTGATTTCTTCTTTGATCTGTGAGTTATTTAGAAGTATGTTGCTTAGGGGCACCTGGGTGGCTCATTTGGTAGAGCTTCTGAGTCTTGATTTCAGCTCAGGTCATGATCTCATGGTGAGTTTTCCAGCTATCTGTTACTAACTTCTAGTTTAATTCCATTGTGGTTAGGAGATATACTTTGTACAATTTCAGTCCCCTCATCTGTACATTAGTAGTCATCCACAGATTTGAGGGGACTCTTCTGCCAAACTCCAAAGTTCATGTGCATCATTCTCTCTTTGCAGGTCCCTCCTCTTTTGTACTCTGCAAATTGTAGTAACCTTGGCCTCCCCACTCTGATCTGTTTCTTTAACTGTGAAGTTTCAGAGGTCTCTTTGTTTTTCCCTTCTCATGTTAAGGACTGGAAAGATAGGATATTTACAGGCTGTAAGATGGGGTGATTTTAGGGCTCATCTTGTTTGCTTCCTCTCTCTCAGGGGTCACAGTCCTGTGTTTCACGTTGTCCAGTGTCTGAAAAGCATTGTTTCATTGATTTTTGTCCAGTTTCCTAGTTGTCTATGGCAGGATGGTAAGTCTAGTTCCTGTTACTTCATTACGGCCAGAAGCCTGAATCCTGATCTTTTGGCCTGAATATTCGATTTCACCCTCTCTTCTGGTTCTGTCCATCTGTCAGCATACTCCAGTCTCTCTTCCATTACAGAGAATATAAAAGATGACCAAGCTCAGATTTTCTTTATTTGCCAGTCTATTTCTCCTCTGCCTTTTACAGCCAGACTTTTTGAAAATGGTCTCTATATCTTTCTCAAAAATGTCGCTTGCGGACTGGCAGAATCCACATCACTTGCACAGTTGTTAGAAATGTAGAATTTCAGGCTCCTCCCTAGAATTACTGAACTGGAGTCTGAATTTTAAGGATTTGATAAGGTGATTGGTATACAAACTAAAATTTGAGAAGCGCTGTTGCACATTTTATAAGCTCTGTTTCTTCATTTTCCATCTTGTTCCTGAGTGCATTGTAATGTGGCATCTGTCTTCATGACACCACTAAATTTGCCCTTGCCCAGGTCATCAGTGAACTTCTTACTGCATATCCAGTGAGTGAGTGTCCATTTGTATTGTACTCTCAGCAGTTCATCCTCCTTGAAATATTTCTTTGGCTTCTGGGATGCCGGTTTCTTGTCCTCTAATTTATGTGACTTTTGCAGGCTTTTTTTCTGCCTTTCTCTTAAATGTTGGTGTTTCACAGAATGTGGATCTTGGCTTCATGTTTTACATTTCTTATTATATCTCATTTTCTCTTGCGACTTCAGTTTCAACATATGTCTCCTGAGTGGAATTTGTGAATTCAACATGAATCTCTGCTGAGTTCCAAGCTTGTATGTCTTCCACATCCATGTACCATAAACACCTTAAACTCCCACATCTACAGCAGACACCATGATCTTCCTGACTGTGTCCTCTTCCTCGGTGACTGGCACCTCCATTCAGCCATTGTTGAGGCCAGAAACTTGTCAGTCAGCTTTGACTCCTCCACCGCCCTTACTCTACATTTACTCACGCTCACTTCCACATTTAATCATTCTCCAAGGCTTACTGATTTGACCTTAAGAATTCCTCAGATCTTTCGCCTCTTAGTCACTATTGCTACTTTCCAAAATAGGGCTTTATCAGGCTTCCACGGAGATAACTACAGTGGCTTCCTAACTGATTTCCTTCTCTCCAGCCTTGTCTCCATTTGGCAGCAAGCAAAGTAAATAAGCATTTACTTATTAAAAGTAAATGTGATCTTCACTTTTCATCTTAAAGCCCTTGCCTGCTTACTAACTTCTTAGCATATAAAAATCCTTATAGTTTGGTCCTTGCCTACCCACTTCTGACTTTCTCTGAGTACTTTGCCTCTTCCACCTTGTTTCTAGGCTTTTGCACCTGCTGCTCCATTGATGATGCATTCTGCTCTTTACTAGCTGGCTCTTACTAATCCCTTAGGTTTCATGTTGGGGACACCTGGGTGGCTCTGTCAGTTGGGTGTCTGACTCTTGATTTCAGCTCAGGTCACAATCCCAGGGTTGTGGGATTGAGCCCCACATCAGGCTCCATGTGGAGTGTGGAGCCTGCTTGAGATTTTTTTCTGCCCTTCTCCCCCACTTGCACTGTTTTTCTCTAAAAGTTAAAAAAAAATTAAAAATCACATTTTGCATAGGTGTCCTCCCTGACTGTCTAGGCCTGGTTTGTTTCTTTCTCTGCATCTTGTACACACCCTGTAACGGTTCCCACCACATTGTTATGATTGTGTTTTTGTGAGCCATGATTATATCATTGTGTGTTTCCACTGTCAGCACTCTAAGAGAGGGTACTAGTGTCTTCCTGTTGTAATTAAGGTGCTTAGCATCCTTCATTCAGTCAACAAATGTGTATTGAGTACCCACTATAGATACCAGACAAGGTTCCTGCTCTTATCATGCTTGTATTGTGGGGATGGGAGTGGATTAGGGTGAAGTAAGAAATAGTAAACAAATTTTTGTTCTTATACATAGTAGATCTTTAATAATTTTTTTGGAAAACTAGTGTATAAATTATTATTTTAATAAGCCCTTGAAGTCCATAAACCTTTGATGTTATTGTTACTGACTTCAGCTCTTGAAATTTTGCTCTCTAAGAATTATTGCACCTTTTTGGATATAGTGAGCTGTGGTAATTAGGTTATTGTTCAGAGCCTTTTACTCTACCTGATCTTAGTTTTATTTTATCTAGTTTTCTTGAACAGAGCTGAGGTAATGAAAGGCTATTAGAGGTACACTTTAGAAAGAGTGAGAAGTGATGTTTAACTTCAAAAATAGAAAAAATAAGTTATTTTAAATAATAATACATATAAATTGTTAAATAATAATAAAGGTCAAGGCCTTGATCCTAAAATCAGAAAAATTTCTCTTCAAATAGCTAAAATATACATTTAATAGTAGATTATCTGAAATTGGCAGAATATTTGGAACACTTTTCTTAAAGTGCTGTCACTTTATCAGTTTGTAACCAATTATATGAAAATGTGGTATTATATTTATTTAAAAATCTTATGTACCCAGAGTTTCAATTAAGTACTTTTTGTAAGCATCACAAATTTTAACTAACTTAAGCAAAAAAGGAATTTATTGGAATGATGTCAAGTAGTTTAAAGGATCAGTGGAGGGGCGCCTGGGTGGTGCAGTCGGTTAAGCGTCCGACTTCAGCCAGGTCACGATCTCGCGGTCCGTGAGTTCGAGCCCCGCGTCGGGCTCTGGGCTGATGGCTCAGAGCCTGGAGCCTGTTTCCGATTCTGTGTCTCCCTCTCTCTCTGCCCCTCCCCCGTTCATGCTCTGTCTCTCTCTGTCCCAAAAATAAATAAACGTTGAAAAAAAAATTTAAAAAAAAAAAAAAAAGGATCAGTGGAAATACTAAAGAAACAAACAAATGCCCACTGTATCTTTTAGGCCAAAGAGATTAGTGTTTAAGCTAAATCTAAGCTTGAGGAAATAATTCCACAAATCTAGAATTGAAGACATTCTATAATACAGCTGTCCTGGTCTCTTCAAAAAGAAGTCAGTGTCATGAAAAACAAAGGCAAAAGGACTGTTCTACATGAAAAGAGACAAAAGAGGGGCTCAGTTGGTCAAGCATCCAACTCTTGATTTCAGCTCAGGTCATGATCTTATGGTTCATGAGTTTAAGCCCTGCATCAGTGTGGAACCTGTTTGGGATTCTCTCTCCCTCCCTCCCTCTCTCTGTCTCTGTCTCTCTCTGTCTCTCTCTGTCTCTCTCTGCCCTTCCTCTGCTTGCACACACACACACACTCTCAAAATAAATAAATAAACTTAGAAAAAAAAGAAAAGAGACTAAAGAAACAAAAACAATACTAAGTGAAGTTTTGTTCGGCCTTGGGCTTTAAGAACATTTAGGGAATATTGGGTAGATTTAAATTTTGAGTATATTAAACAATATTATTGAATGAATTTTAATTTTCTTAGATGTGATTAATGGTACTGATATATAGGAAAATACCCTTATTTATAGATACTTTCACAATATTAAAACTTTGAGAGGAAAGCTCTGCATTAGGTTATTGATGATGTAAGGAATTATAAAAATACCAGAAACTATGTGACATGTAGCATGTACTCTTAGGCATTAGAACACAAGAAATTCAGAAAGGTGGAATTAATTAACCAAGGAGAGTTAAATTTAAGGAAAAGTAATCTCTTTGGCCTAAAAGAGTTGGTTGAGTGTCCAACTCTTGATTTCAGCTCAGGTCATGATCCCAGGGTCACAGGATCAAGCCCTACGTTGTGCTCCTCACTGAGTGTGGAGCCTGCTTGAGGTTCTCTATTTCTCTCCCTCTGCCCCACTCATGCACTCTCTCTCTTTCTAACATAATAATAATAAAACAATATAATAATTCTTACTGCATCCCATCAGGACACATATCATGTCAGGTTGTGTCGTTACTGCTAATACTGAATTTGATCACTTAGTTAAGGTGGTGACCACAAGATTTCTGTCCCATGTGAAGGTACATTTTATCCTTTGTAATCAATAAGTAATTTGTGAATTACACTCTGAAATTGTGTGAATTGCAGAAACCTCTCACCCATTTCATCAATAAAGAATTGATTTTTTTCTGCAATTTTTGATTAAAAGTTGCTAAAAAATTTAGTTTCTAAATAGACATTTCCGAGTAGGTATTAAAGAGAGGGTGCTGATAGTTGCTTAAAATCTTTTAGTTTTTACTGTTTAGATAGTCAAACTCTATTTGACAGCAAAAAGAG